GAAATAATCTAGACACAAGCTTACAGAAGCCTAAACAAAGATGCCAAGGGAGAGAAAAGCACATCCAATAGATATTTCAAAGTAACAAAGAATAAGGCTTGGTGACAGATTGCATTTAGGGGATGAAGGAGAAGGAAAAAGAAATTCTTTGGGAATTGTCAAAGCTCAATTTACTGTTTTGTTGGTTATCTGGACTTCAAAAAGTGATAGAGAAAATGTTAATAATGCAGATTAAACTTAAGAGTGTATTTTGGAAAAGCTAGGTGGTGAAGTGGATAGACCATCAGGTCTGGAATCAGTAGGACCTGAGTTCAGATCCAGCCTTCGAGATGCGTACTAGCTGTGTGATCCTGAGCAAGGCACTTAATCCTGATTACCTAAAGGGGGAAAAAAGTGTCTTTCATCCTTTTTATTTGTTTCCTAGAGAGCTGGTGGTTAATTACTTACCAGCACGCCCCTCCATAAGTAGTAAAAAACAGATACAGGATTTGAACTCAGGTCTTCTAACTCCAAAAACATCACACTTTCCTCTCCATTGAATTGATTTTGGTTGGGAATGAATTGAATTTGACACAATAGTGGAGTGGAGCTGTCCTTTAGGAAATTGGGAGGCAGAATAAGTGACATTTATGTAGTAATTTAAAGTTCACAAAGTACTCATCTAAGTTATCACATTTCATCACTGCAATTGCGCTATATATGTAATATAAATATAACTATTCTCTATTTTATATATGAGGAAATTGAGACTCAAGTTAAACATCTTGTCCCTTTATGGAAAGCTAGTACATATTTGAAGTAGGATTCAAATCCAGACCTTTCTTTGCACCAAGTCCAAAATTTTGCTGTTCATTATTTTTTCATTATACCATGATAAGACAGAGTTGAAGATGAAGATTTGAGTGATATTAGCATGGAAGTGATAATTAAAGTTAAAATATGTTGATAAACTGATTAATGGAATGGAGCTAGAGAAAAGCACCTTAGAGGATAGATCAATACAGTAGAAAAAATGTTCAATCTAGAATTAGAGGACCTGAGTTGGAATTTTTATTTAATTGCTTACTGCAGGGCAGGATGGAGAAAGTGTTGGACCTGGAGTTAGGAAAATGAATCTTCATGAGTTCAATTCCAGCCTCAGACACTTTCTAACTGTGTGACCCTGGGCAAGTCACTTAACCATGTTTGACTCAGTTCCTCATCTGTAAAATGAGCTGGAGAAAGAAATGGCAAACCACTTTGGTATCTTTTCCAAGAAAACAAGACTGACAAGACTGAAATGTCTGAACTACAATTGTGATTCACTTAATCTCTCTGGACCTCAGTCTCCTCATATGTAAAATGAGTCGTTTAAACTAGTTGGTCTCTTAAGTTCCTTTGACCTCTAAATCTATAACTAAAGTTAGGAAAAAATTGAAGGGAAAGGAGTCAATAAATGAGTAAGAGGTGTCCTAGTTAGAAGAAAGTGTCTGTGGATTGCCAGGTCAGACAGCCATTTAGGGGAAGACAGCATTAACACTTAGGTTTTAAGCTCCAAATCCAACATACTCCAAATTGATGATACTGCACCTACAATTAAGTACTAAACCTGAGAAGGAAAAAATAATAATTTTTACCTTCTGATACATAGTTAGTCTAAGTGCTGTTCTTAGGATGAAATATTTGAAATTGATCTATTTGTGTGGTCTATTATAAACATAGAGACATGACGGGGATGAGGATTGGGGGGGGAGCTATTGGATTTTGTAAGAAAGATATTTACAGATTTCTCAATAGAGAGGTTCTTTTATATATCCACTTATGTCCCCTACCATTTCTGGGTCTGAACAATTAGCTGAAAAGCCAGATATACAAGTTTAAAAAAAATCCAGAGTAACTTAAAATCACCACTTCTAACATCTCCCTGAAATTCTATATATCACCACAGTTAAATGCTACATAGGACTCTTTTCCCACCTCTGGCTTTGAGTACACTATATTTGGAACATTCTGATAGATGAGAAGGATTTAAGGTATTCATTCAAGAGAGAGATGTTTTCACTTCAGTTTTTTTGTTGGTTTTTTTTGTTTGTTTTTTTGCTTCCGCTGGGGTAACAATCCATCTTTTATGTAGGTAATAAGTTTAACCCAGTTAATTTCACACTAGTAAACATTTAATTCCCTAGGATTATGCTAAATTTTTCTTAAGTTAAATGGAAAACAGTTCACATATAAGTAAGAACTTATATTTTTCTGACATAAAAAGTAATTTCTAGTTTTGTGGATGGGACCAAACATTTGATGCTGATTTATCTGCTTGATATGTAGTAAATACATGGAGACAGATATGCCTTAATAATTTTATCACACTCTAACACTATAAAGTTCTGATATGTGAGTTACAGATAGCTCCTTGAATAGGTGAGTACTTGCTAACTTTGAATATTTTGTGGTATTTCTATACATATCATGAACGTCTTCTGAAGGACTGAAAAATGTAAACAACTTTTCAATGTTTCTTCAAAAAATGGAAAGAAAAAAAAGTCAGCATTATGCATTTCCTCATCTAGTGAAGGGAATTTATGGTCTGGTTTCACTTGAAACATCCTCCTTTGATTATTCTGTATTATTGGAGGTCAACATTAAATATTGTCAAATGTTTGTTCCTTAAGATTTTTAAAATTTGAAACCTTCAAGTAAGCCTTGCTTACCTTTTTTGTTAAAAACATTTTTGTGGATAGCTTGTATTTTTATATCACCCACTACAGAGCCATTGTAATGAACTACAAAGAGAAAATAAAAATAAAAGTTTATCAAAATCAATTTACATATCACAAAAATATAATATGCATTGAACTGTTCTCATTGGCTCCTATTTCCACAAAGAATTGAAGGAGGTATCATGATTTTCTTTTGCCTCTATCGTCAACGATGTTCCTTCAAGGAAAATCCACACTAAGGTTTACACACACATACACACGCACACAAATATACATATATGTATGTATATATGTGTGTATGTAGAGATATGTGCATGTGTACGTGTGTATATGTATTCATATATACATGTATGTGTTATGTGTATATTTGTATGTCTACATATATACATACACACATGCATATATGTATATTCCCTCTTTACTTAAAATGTTCTTTAAAAGATACACTCAGATTTTTATCTTCTTGTATAAATTCTGACCACATTGCTTTATGCTTATTCTTTGGACCCTATTCTACATCCTGAAATCATTTCACCTCCTTTCACTGACTGCTTTTATTCTCATGCCCTTGCTTTCATAAATTTAGACCTACTCTCTTATTCCTTCATCTCCTCATTTAAAATATTCTTCAAGTACTAAATGATCCAGAAATTTAACCTGAAACAAGTTCAGTAGTTGATGTGCATATATTAGAGTATAACACATTTTAATTTCTGAGATCTGGGTAATTCACCTTTGAATTGTCCCTGGTAAGTATTGAAATGGTTAGAGGTGGGGTATCCTGCCTCTAATGGTTGCAAGCTGTGTCATCTTTGACAAGTGCCTTAACCTCATTAGGCTTTAGTTTTCTCATCTGTAAAATGAGGAAGTTGGAATAGATGGGCTCTGAATTTCCTTCCAGCTCTATATATGCTTTAGGTAGTAATATTCTCTTTGGTATCTCTCTGTCATTAGTATATGTGGTTTAAAGTGCTTTATCTTTCTTATTCAGCCTTCTCTTTCCACTCTGTACATTTGTACACCTTCTGGCTAGGGTGAAGGGTACAGTCTGTTGCCATTGAACAGACAAAAAGCTAACTAATTTTCATGGATATCAAACCTATGACATTAACATAATTAGCATAGAGAGCTAGCCAGTTTTTGTTAACCAGACACAGTTCTGTATTTATTTACTACAACACCCAGTGTCTGTTCATTCATATTCTAAATGCACAATCTCACTGAATTGTCCTGGGCACTGACCCAGTAAAAACTTTGCTATGGCAGTGGCCAAAACCTAGAGAGATTTGTATAAGCATATCTACAGTGACATTGTGACAAGTAATCTCATCATAATCTCAGACTTTCAACTAAGGTTATTATAAATGTCTCCATTGTGTCATGTGTCATAACATTGTCTCTAAATGTGACTATTGTAACATGACATACAATGGTGGTTAAAATTGGGCTAAAACAATGGGGATATATTATTTATTTTGATTTCTTGCTAACCTTTTGAAAAATGAATATCATTTTTAAAAAAATAAATCCCTGAATAATATTTACTTTAATGAGCTGTGCCTTTGAAGTCTACTTGGACTTTAATGCTAAACGTTTTAGTCATTAATTCTGAAGAGCAACTGTTCAATTTGTATCTAATTATAAAATCAAGTGTACATGAAAGAAAAGTTTGATGTCACATGGTACATTCATATGTATTATAAACATGATTTCTGAAAAAGTTATATTACATATGGATAGATAGTTGTGAGATTTGTTTATTATGCTCTCATATGATTTAGGGTTTCAAGGGGCCTCATAGATCATCTTACCTAAAACACCTACTTTATAGATAGTGAAACTGAGGCCTAGAGAGGACTGGCATTCTGCCTAAAGTAAATGCATAGTAAATTGTAGAGTCTAATATTTTTTTCTAGAGCTGCACAATATTTCAAACTTGTGTTCCTTCTATGAATCTAGAATAAAATCGAAGCTTGAAGAGGTGAAAATCTGAAGAAAATGTGGATGGGGCAAAATAAATGATTAAGGAAAAGGAGGAATAAGTAGATCAAAGTAATACAGGGAAAGATGAAAGTAAGGCAAAGAAACCATGTACTCCCTATAATTTTCAGTAGATTAGATATAGCCATTCATCTCTAATGGCCTAAGTGTGCTCTTTTTGAAGGTATGGGCCTCTAATACTAGATGACCTTTTGATGTCCCTTCTGGATCACATGTACTATATGATACTTCCTCTTATCAAAGAAAATGCAGAGGTTTCAACTTCACTTGAAGCTATATGTTTTTCTTTGTCTTTTCTAGGCTGGTCCTCAGTTCTGTCTCTGACTACTTTGCTGCTATGTTTACAAGTGATGTTTGTGAAGCGAAGCAAGAAGAAATCAAAATGGAAGGCATAGATCCTAATGCTCTCTGGGACCTTGTACAGTTTGCATATACAGGTATTATAAAGCGTTCATTTATGATTTCCAGTGACTGATGGTGATATCATTTTTCTTCTATTTGTTCAATTACAGGTTTTATCTTCTAAATTAGTATTTAGAATTATTATCCCCTTCCCAGACAGATCATTACTTAAAGTTTCCATTTTATTATCAGAGAGGGATAAAAAACAGAGACGATTCATTTAACATGAAAAGATCAGAGTGAGTCATTTTATGTCTTGTCACTTATATTGTCAAATTATATTTATTTTTCCACTCACTATGTTAATGAGAAGAGAAAGAGGTGCTAGTTAATTGATTTTTTTTTCTCCTAGATATTCCATGTTTAAATACATATTTTCACTGGTAGGTATTCTAAGGTCACAACTTGCTAAACGAATTGAGAAGCTGTGCTTATGATATGTGATGTCACTCAAATACATGACGTTCCTCCACTTAATGGTGTGATATGTTGGTATAAATAATGTTTCTGGGTTTTGTTTGTGCCTTACTCTTTTTACATTTTCCATCTGTCTCTACATAATCACATATTCATGGGTAATTTCGGCGTTTCCTTTGAATTGTTCAAGTATGCACATACATAATAACACAGCACTTGAACACAACTTACCATGTGTAATGCACACAAATTCTGTGTCCATTTCTATGAACCTCTTGCAAGGTGCCTTGTTGTTTCTCTACAGAGCCAAAGCAGTGTGTAACAGAGAAAGGGAGATCTGAATTCTTGTTCTTAAATAAAATTTCTTTATAAACTTCATGGAAACAGGTTTAATAGAATGAGAGAGTCTCAGATTTAGAGTCCATGTAGGCCAAAAGCCTTGTAGGCCTTTGAAACTATCTATAATATGATACTGTGGTAGAACAATATTCTAAGCTTTCCTCCCATACAAATTAGGATAATTTTCCTTTAGAGGCTTCAGACCTTTCTGGAAATGTGGTTGGCTTACGGGACTAATGGCTTAGACTATTGGAATCACTTTCTCATAATCTGAGTACAAAGCAACCACAAGATGCTGCAGTGGCAGGAACTCTGGGGTTCGACTGGTGGATCATTCTGGATAACTGGCTGCCCTACATTATTGGGTAACTGCATCAATGGTCCAAGATTAGCTACTTGGTTCAATCAAAACCCAGAGAAAGCTTTTCTTCACCTAGGAATGCCAATGCAAAAGAAGAGATTACTAAAAGATATATATATGTGTGTGTGTGTGTGTGTGTGTGTGTGTGTGTGTGTGTGTGTGTGTACACACACACACACACACACACACACACACACACACACACACATATATATTTTTACAGGAAAAAAAATGAATCAGCAGTCAAAAATAGAAAAGGCTAACTGCTCAGGAACACTTTGTTGGATTTTAAGGTCAAAGGGGATGCTGAGGAGCAAAGAAGCTCACCTAAGTCAGAATCTAAGAATTGCTCATTTGTACTAGAAGCAAAAAGGTCAATGGAAATTGGTCAGTGTTTTCAGTAGTGCTGAGATGAATGTCCCTGAAAGAAGAAACTATGCTTTTAAGATATAAAAAAGGAAAGTGTATGGATGATTTCAAGTAGAAATGAAAGGAAGGACTTATATTGAAAAGCATCTGAATGGGCCAGTGGGTTGAAATTGTTGTTTTTTGGTCTTTCAGTTGTATCTGGCACTCTGTGAACCCACGGACCTTACTGTCCATGGAGTTGTCTTGGCAAAGATACAAGAGCTGTTTGCCATTTTCTTCTCCAGTGGATTAAGGCAAAGAAAGGTTAAATGATTTACCTAGGGTCACACAGCTAGTAAGTGTCTAAGGGCAGATTTAAATTCAGGTCTTCCTAACATCAAACCATTGCTGTATCTACTGAGCCATCCAATTACCTCCTGGATTGAAATTAGCTGTGTTAAATATTAGAGATCTATAAGTTTTGCCCAAATGCTGGGGGAAAGGTTTTATCTTAGACAAAGACTTTGGAAAATAATGAGTAGCATGACAAAAATAATAAAGACAATAACTAGCATTTATATAGTGTTTTAAAGTTTTCAAAATGATTTACGTATTATAACATTTGATTCTCACAGCAACCTCTAAGGCAGATATTATTATTATTGTTATTATTCCCATTTTACAGATGAGGACACCAAGAGATATTCAGTAACTAGCCAGGTTCACATAACTAGTACATGTCTAAGACAGGATTTGAATTCAGAATTTAATGGATTTAGAGTCCAGTGTTCTATGTACTAAACTATCTAGCACTTTGCTATACCCCCCTCCCCTGCCCCAGGAGGTTTCTACCCCAGTCCAAATTATTTTAAATAAATATCTAGATTCAATCAATCAAAGCTATAAATTAGTAATGAACAAATCAAATCTTTAATCAATCTGGCAGAAGTTAAATTCTTTGAAAATCACATAAGGAGAGATGAGGATACATAGGATTTACCCTGAAATTGAGGGAAAGAATGTGACATACTTCTAGGCTTATGTAATGGCCTAGAATGAAATCCCCCATTCTAACAGCAGGAAAATCCTCCTCCCTCAAACCCCACTGACCATGTGACAACTTGATGAATTTTGAAAGGTTAGCCTAGATCTAGATTTTGAAAGGGTAAAGGATCTAGATTTCCCATCAGCATCACTTGTAGTGTACCTGAGAGGCAGTGTGGGACAGCAACATCTGCATAGTAAGTTTAGAGACACATTGGAGTCAAACTCTATAAGCACTCATGGACTCTGTAGGAACACTGACTCTTGAAGCCCTCTAGAGAGATATACCTATGGCAGGACTATATAAAAAGTGAAAGGGTTTCCAGTAACTAGAGACTTACCCTTTGCCCACGTGTGCTTTCTACTGTCAACCAAAAATAAGGAGGACTACCAAATGAGCAACAATAAGTCTTTAATCCAGGCAAGGGAATCGGAATTCAGGACACCATACGGCACCCAAGTACTGGAGTGCCCGGGAGGGGCAGAAGGAGCAGGGTGTGGATACACTTCAACAAAAAGAACATACAGCCTCTCAAAGCTGTTCCATTAGTTGTTTTGCAAAATAGCAGAGCATACACAGAAAAGGCTGGTGAGGCTTGGAAAGTGGTGACATCTGGTCAGAATAGCAGGCAATAGGGAGCTTCCAGAAAAACCAAAAAATGGCTTCAACTGGTTGGAACCTCTTCCAACCATGGGGTCAGGGTCAGGTAGCCCTTCTGATGACTCTATTCAACACTATTTTTAAGTCTCCTCTCCAAGGAGTGAGTGTGCTCCATATGAATCAATCAATTAAAAACTATTTGTCGAGTTAACTCTATGCCAAACTCTGTGCCTACAAAATAGAAAAATCAAGACAATGATCATTTCAAGAGCTCTTATTCCAATTTGGGGAGAAAACACATGTAAATGGCAGTGCACGTGTAAATGACTAGATGCATTAAAGATGCTGAGATGGGGTGAATATCAAGGCCCACAGGTATGTAGGTTAAGAAGATAATGCCAAGGGATTATAGGGAATAGAGGAAGGGCACATGTTAAAGCCTGCAAGGTCTCAGGAGGCAGTGAAAGGTATGGCCTGGTGGTCCTCCTCATCAGAAGGAATAGAGATGTTAACTCCTCTCATCCAACCCGGGTAAACAGTCAAGCAGTTTGGGCAAAGTGGGGAGTCGTGAAGAGTAAGCTTCTCCAGTAGTGGTGGCTCTTGTCTTCCAGCTATACCATGTGAGTTACAGGTTTGGGGCTGTGCTTCACACTTGTCCTTACCATACCTTCTAAGCATCTATTTCTAAAAGCTAATTAACTCTGGTGGATAATTAGAGAACAATGACTATGATCAACTGTATTGCAAACATCAAGTCCCTCAATGTTACCCTGAAGAGAGAAGTCAGCCACTCTGGAGATCCAGCACACTGATGTGAATAGAAATAGGGAGAAGGAACTCAGAAGGAGTACTACAAAAGGTTACAGGTAGAAGACTGAAATGATGCCTTCAGTTGCAAAACAATATTTCTTTTGGGATTCTCTATTCTGAAGAACAAGAAGATTTAGTAGGTAATTCCACATTTCAATTGGAATCAGCACACATTTGTTAAGCACCTATTAGGCAAAAGGCAGAATCCTAGTTGAGGAAACAAGATGCCTCCCCAAAAAGGGGGGGAGGGAAGGAATCCCTGGCCTCAAGGAGCTAATATTCTCCTAAATTAAAGCAACTAAGTTCATACAAGTAAATACAAAATATACACAAGTAGGATAGAAGGAGTATGGAGGAAGAGAGAGGTGAAAGGAAAAGACAGAAAAAAGGAGGCAGGAAGAAAATATCAGTAGGTTCTGAGATTATTACTAGGTAAACACACTATTCTTCCCTTTGGGTGAAACTTCAATGAAAATTATCTCACTCCTTGTGAAGTTCTGAGTAGTTGATTAACTCCCCAGAAGAAAAATCTGAACTAGCCAAGTTCCTTATTCTGGTTTGAAGAGAAAGGGCTTACAGGGAATAAAAGATAATTATGTGAAATAAGAAAAAATACTGAAAAAGGATAAAAAGGTTACAAGACTATCTAAGCTGAGTTAGCACTTATTTGCATAATATTTTAAAAGGAAGGGTTTAAACTACTAAGCTGTATGTTTTAGAATATATCTAGAAGGTATATCTAAATTTAATGAATTTGGAAATATACATATATATGCCATATAGGTACATACATATGTGTGTGTGATGTGTGATATATAACATATTACATATATGGTATGTATATGTGTGTCCATTTGCATTCATGAGTTTGCGTGTGTGTATGTGTATGTACACAGAGGGGAGAGAAAATAAAGACATTAAAAGCATTATGTTAATTACTCCCCATATGGCTCACATAACTTTGAAGTTCAAGTTCTTTTCTGCCTGGAACTGAAAACTCACTACTCTAGTGTCCTTGTCTTTCCCCTATTATGTACTATAACCTAAGGCATGCTGCTTAACTAAACGATGGGTATCTGTGATGTTTGTGGCAAACTGTCTACTATTCATGCTAA